CGGGAGCTAATCCCCACCCGTTTGAAGAGATTTCCACGCGGACGAAGTTGGGACTCATTCTCAATGAGAGAAGAGCAACTTGGACGAAACGATCTCGCAAGTGTTTGTAAAAGAACTAAAGAATAAACATCACGGAACCCGGAGAGGAGCACAGTTTCCCCCGAGCGAAGGCTAAACGACCCTCTAAAAAATTATACCTGCAGATAAAATCACGCATAATGTTTTAAGAAGAAGTCGGGTTGATTTTAATTCTACTCACTCGGCCTGATTTGTTGCTCGACCGGGGCAGAATAACAACAACGTAACTGAAGTGAATTTCCCGTGTAGATACGAGGTTTTTGCTGAGTGTGGCAGAAAGGAGGTCGCGACGAAGCCGTTATTACTGCTCATTCCAGCGTGTATTTTTTCATGCATTCAAAAGTAAGTGAGCAGCGCACATACGGTCCTGGCGTCCATTCCACCCGGATAGAACACTTTTATCTGTCCCTTCCCATCTCAATACACACCCGAGCCCTGCCAGCTTCAACTTTTATCATTTCGTCCGCGGTTTTTGTGCCCCGTATAACAGCACGCTGCGCATTGGCGCCACATGAGCGGTCCCATTCTGCCGTGCTAAGGTAAAACGCCGCATGAACATTCGAGAGTTGTCAAATTTCCGCTGGTAAAATGTTTATTTTTGAGGAGCGTTACGAATATTTTCCCTTGGAATTTTTTGATAGTTTAGATCCAATTCCGAAGAAAGTCTTGTAAAAAATTGGACGGAAAATATTCACGAGCTTTCCTGAAAATTCGTATTTAATCAAAGGAAATTTGGCAACGCCTGAAGGTTCATACGGCGTTTTTCCTCAGCACGGTAGAATAGAGAGGAGCCCGCTTTCTTGCGAGAGAGGAGGTCAACTCGTTAAGCATGGTCGGCAGAATCTGATATTTGGACGTATTTCTGTCAAACGGAACTCAGTGCATTACGACGTGAGCCGTGTTATGCATATGTTCTTGTGGATCTCAGGGCTCATGTATCGATGCACATGGTTCCGTTTGGCAGTAATACGTCCATCTCGTCGTGCGTCTTGCCGTGACCACACGCTGAATTAGGCAGCTGAATATGGAAGCTGAATGTCATTGCTCAAAAGTTGACTTTTCGTAACTTTGGGTCTTTTTAATCCACATTCGCATTAAACTTACAATTAATAGAATTGTTCGGATAAACTGATAACTGCTCTGCCGTGCTAAGGGAGAACGCCGTATGAACATTCGAGAGTTGCCAAATCTCCTACGATAAAGTGTTTATTTTTGAGAAAAATTGTGAATATTTTTCCTTGAAAGTTTCAGACACTTTAGATAAAATTACAAAAAGAATATCTGAGAAATTGGCAGAAAAATATGCAAAATTTTTCCTGAAAATGAATGTTATACCAGAGGAAACTTGGCAACGCCTGAAGGTTCATACGGCGTTTTTCCTTAGCACAGCAAACTGAGTCCCGATCCTCATCGGTGTCCCTCAACAACAGACCGATGACTCCTACATTCAGCTACATTCAGCTGCCCATTTTCAGCGTGTGATTCTGGTTTCTCTCAAAAGTAGGAAACTACATTTTAATGTTGCGAAACTTCCCCTGGAAAATTGCATTTTTACCAAGAAAATCTTGGGCGTTTCTAACTGATAATTTCACCGCTTTTTCTTCCAGTATCGTGCAAAAATTAAAACATTTTGAATAAAAATTGCATGTGTACATTATTGTTAAAAATTAAATTTTTTAAGTCGATTTTGCATCCTTGGAATGCGGTTACGCTCCTTTGTTTGAGAAACGACGATTTATCGGACGGATTTCACCGGAACCAGCCTAACGTCATTTCATGTTGCCTAATTTTCCTGAATGTTTTTTTTTAACGCGGAACTAAAGTACTCACAAAGAGCCTTTACAAACTTTCTGTGAACTTACCCTCAAATATGAGGAATCTGAGAATTTCAGGTTTCAATGAGGGTTAGTTTCCTCTGCCATGAAAATCAACTGAATTAATTTACAGGAGGAAGTAAAGCTGGCAACTTGAACCAGAAGCAGCAAAATCATATTACCCGTCATCAAATTTCCTTCTTATGCTGCATTCATTATTTAAAATAAAAATAGACGACGCTCTGCTCGAACATTTTAATGATAATTCTTTATATCAAAGAATACCGAAAGCAAGTTTGAAGGCATTATGTTGCGTGCTTCTTTATTTAAACAAACAGTGTGAAGATTTGTCAACGTGGAATTTAATTTAATATCCACCCAGTGGTGCCACTTGCAAATAAAAGAAATTGCTCTGAAAAAATATGCAATGACAAGGATAATAATGGAACGCCAATAAACAGAACCTGCTTAACTGCATCAGACGTTGCGTAACTTCCTCTCATATTAAGCATTTTGCAAGAAAAAATTCTGCCCTGACATTTTTTTAGCATATTTTTCTTCACGCTCCAGGGGAAATTTGCAGAGGATTATAATTCGTTATGTTGCTCAAACTTTCCGTAAAAAAATGAAAATTTGTAACAATATAGTCAACGAGACATGTACTTAGATTGATTTCAATTTAATCTGTTTAAATTTTCAGTTACCCAGTCCTTTGTGATCTCTTACGAAAGACACCTCTTTCATAAAAAGGGACAAATCGATTTGCATGGTCTCTAATGAAGAGTTTTGTTTGTCAATTAATTCTAACAATACCTTTATTTTCCGTTTATTTTATTTTTACCCCCCCCTCCCTCCGCCCCCAAAAAAATTTTGGTTCCCCATCGCTGGACACCACTGTGCTAAGGGAGAGCGTAGTGTCAATATGTGTAAACTGTACAAAACACAAGCAACTATTTTAACTCTCCGGAGGTGCTGGTTGCATAGCAAAATGTTGCAGGCACTTCTACCCGTGAATCCTCCCGCACGAAAGTTAAAGCATTCGCCGATGATACAACACATTTTTTGTGAACATTTCTTCGATTCTCTACCACACTCTGAAATGCCAAGGAAGAATACGGTGTGAACATTTAAATGTTTCGTATTTTCCCTAATTAAATCTTTTTATTTGAGAAAGGTTGTGAATATGCGACGCTCTCTCTCTCAGTCCGGCCAGAAGTGAGTTATCTAAGGCGGAGTTAAGGAATGGAAACATTGATGAATATAAGAATATAATGTCGTATTGCACGGGAAGGTTGATTTCCCACAGTTTCTCATTAAAAATCAACAGATTTCAAAGAAAATTAAGCTCCATAAATGAGAAATTCAAACTCATGGTTCAAAATTGTCGTTAAAACTGGTTTAAAATTTTAATTTTTAGGAATAGAACATTTCACTCTGATTGCTGATGAGATTGAATTTCAAGATGCTACATTCCCTCAGCCCCCATGAAAGAAAGAGAAAAAGAGGGGCGAAGAAAAAACGGGAAAAAGAGGATGGAGGTGGCCAGAGTGAAAGGCGAAATCTAAACCGCGCTTAATGATCCGAACAACTTTCAGCTTCGAATAGCGCTACTAACAAAGTTTTCGGAATATGATTAGAACTTGGTGACTTCTGACGCGTATTTTTATTGGAATTCATCCAACATTTTGCAAGTGTAAAACTTTGCGAAAAAAATCGTTACAAAAAATTATTTGATGAGGAATCATTCGTTATACGACTATCCATCAACTAGACAAATAAAAATAATACACTACAAAAATCATGAATAGAAGAAGAAATATCTTAATGAACTAACTCTATGGGCAAATCCATCATTCAAAGCTTCAAAGATATTCTTGGAAATTATTTATGTGGGTAATCTCTGCAAGTTTTTCTGAAAATTTTTGGAATCAAATTTCGCAACGTGACTACTTTGCCCTCTCTGGAATCTTTCTCTGCTTCATGCTGGAATAATTTTCTACATAATTCTGAAACTTTTTCCTGGAGTTCATTTATTGAAAGAAAAGTTTTACGGTAAAAGTTAAGTTTCCTCGAATGTATCGCAAAAAAATTGATTTTTTTTTACCAGACATTATGGTTTTTTTTTTTTTTTTATCATTCTCTTAAGATAAAATTCAGAGCACTGTGTAACCAATTTTAAGTCACATGCACAACAACAAACACTACATGAAAATAGAGCGAGGGAAAGGACGGCTTTGAGATCGCGTCTTGGACGGCGCAGAGATACAACTATTCGTACCTGATGGGTGTCCGTGTCGCGTCTGCAAAATTGAAGGCGCGATGACGCGTTACGTGAACTCGCAACGCTTCGTTCTATGCTGCCGGTGAGATGTCGCTCACGAAAGAAAAGTCAAAGAACGAGGCCCTATTACGTCTCTCCTATTTTCATTGTTCTGACATTCATTTTGATGTACGATTTTTTTTCTATGATGTATTTGCAGATCCATACCTAAAGTTCGTGTACCGATCTACCGTGCTAAAGAAGTACGCCGTATGAACATCCGAGGGTTGTCAAATTTCCTTCAATAAAATGTTTATTTTTGAGGAAAAATAAGATTATTTTCCCTTGAAATTGTTAGGAACTTACGGTGAATTCGCGAACAAAATTATCTGAAAAACTGGAAGGAAAATATTCATAAGTTTACCAGGAAATTCGTATTTATCAAAGGAAATTTGGCAACGTCTGATGGCTCATACGACGTTCTTCCTTAACACTGCAGCGGTCATATACAACTCGTGGAGAACGTGTTTTTAGCAAGCCAATATGTTTTTTTTTGGTTAATTTGCCCCGGCTCGGGCATCTAAGGATTAATTGTAAGTCTTTTTTAGGATGGCCGGTGCAATATTGGACGTATCTCTATCAAACGGAACTATGTTCATTAGGACGTGAGCCCTGTTATGCATTTATTCTTATGGGTCTCAGGGCTCATGTCTTAATGCACATAGTTCCGTTTGGCAAAAATACGTCCTATTGTATTTTAGACATCAATTTTTTAACTTGTTTTTGAGAATGTAAAACAGGAGCGTGCAGTAAGTGAAATTTAATTATTTGTCTTGAAAATTTTTCAGGTTTCCTGGATTCGAAAGCGGGATCTGCATATTTTAACCGTAGGGATCTTGACGTACACAAACGATCAACGGTTTCAAGCCCTGCATGCCGAGGGCACCGACGAGTGGACGCTCAAAGTGGGCTCCCCGCAGATCAGGGACTCCGGCACCTACGAGTGCCAAGTCAGCACCGAGCCAAAAATTAGCCAGTCTTTCAAACTCAACGTTGTCGGTAAGTTTTTCCCAAATACTACGCTTGTCGTAACGAAAGCTATATGGAAAAAGAGGTAGGGGTTAGGACCCAACTTGAGCTCCTCCAAGTAATTGCAGTAGTACCATAATAAATTAGATTACTAACTCAATTTTGCGGTACTATGCCAATTTGAGTTGCGATAGTATTAATATTAATTGAACATGCCCATATTATCCAACAAAATATCAATGAAAAAAAAAAGTTCGATGAACCCGAACTTATTAGAAGCATGGAACCAGATTTTCTTCCGTACACATAACAATTATTTGTTCTGCTCGACAAAACTGCTCGGTCCGCTAGACCGAACGCAATCATAGAACGAAAAATAATGGTCTTCGGGATTTTTTCCAAATTGCGGCTCGATTAAGGACTCCAAAATTAGGTAAACATCATTGTACAGGGCCCTTCAGATATGATACAAAAGAGCGCCTTCAACCCACTGCGTAATCTTAATGCACAATTCTAATACCACTATTCGTGCGTCACGGCAGTCATTTTGCATAGCCGGCTAATTGAAGGCAAATCATTTGCCCAGGCAACAAGGTACAAATTTCTGCAATGTTATAAGAGTTTCTTAGGGAGCAAAGTCTCCGGGGGAGCTCCATCAGATATCCAAAAAGCCCAGCCTACGGGGTCTGAGAATCTACTTGAGTTTTCCAGTAAAATAATCAAATATTGGTAAAAAATAAAATCTAGTTTTTCTCAATACCATTCAGTTATCTTTAAAAAAAAGAGACAGTAAATCTGACGCAAACCGTGTTACATGGTTTGATACTTTCATCATCAATACTCCTCATTTCATTAAGTAAAGTTTACACTTTTCCTGGAAATAACCGCGTTAAAAGGGACTTTATGGATATAAAAATGAGTGTTATGAAGGAGGTCGTTTTCAACTTTGACGGTAACTTAGTCAAACAGCTAATACAGAGTAAACTAAAGAGTTTGAAGTGAGAAATAAGAAAGTCAAAATGCAGGAAAAATTCAAGGAAAAAATAGTGCAAAAAACTAAAGGAATGCAAAAGGATAGAGCTAATCTGAAACCATCAAAGAAGGAAATTCAGGAGAAAATCTAGCACGTTATCCGGGAATAAGTTCGCCAGATCTCAAATTATCGTGCATGCTTTTATCGGGTCTTACACTCGGAATTGTATAAGCGTGACCCACAGAATCCGTGCGAATTTCGATGATTGCATTTGGAGTGGGCATCCTCTCCTAAATTAGATGGTGGACTCAATTGTCGGCTAGGTTGTCTGGTTATTGAAATATCTCAACTTTCAGATCTCAGACTGAGACTAAGTAGGTCACATTTCTATGCTCACGTTCCATCGACGACATGATTGGTCCCTCTGACGTGAGCGCGTATCTCAATGCTTTGCGATTTATCGATTGATCGGCCATTTAAACCTATGGAGAAGGATCGATAAACAGGGTGTTCGCTGCGAACACCTTAATAATCGATTCTTTCCCATGGGTTTAAATGGCATAACAATCGATATATCGCAATTCACGCCACGCCACTGGTCTTTATGCCAGATGAGCAACGACGCTGAATGGCCTTGACCTGGAATCCTAAATAAAGACAAACCAAAGACAAAACAAGAGCAGTAATTTGAATTGCAGGCCGAATGGCGCCCCCTACTTTTACGAGTCTCTGATTGGCTGATCCACCTGGTGCCCACTCTCTTGGGCCCATATGGAGAAAACCACGGGGCTCATTTTTCATCGGCAATATCTCGAAGACAAGGGAAAATTTATACGTCGAAGAATTCAGAAATGTCTCTAGATTTTTCTGAAGAGATTGATGGGTAGTACATGCGAATTTTTCTCAAAAACACCGAACAGTTCGACTTGGAATCTTGTTTTTTCAACTTAAAATGTGACACTTGGTGTCATGAAAAAACAAAAGTTAATGGGACCATCCTGAAAATAGGCAAGAGCCTTTAGGGTTACAGGAGCAGTGCGAGATTTTTGGATTACCCTGTATAAAAAGGCCTTTATCGACGATGAAACTCCCAAACCACATATCGCGTTTGAGTTGTTTGAAAATATCCGCTCCCATCTTATTTTTTTCAAGGAGAGCAAATCAATATCACTCCTTCAAGTTTTCGCAGAGTTTCCTTCGCACAGCGAAGAAACATCACGGAAGTTTACAAGAATTGACGTTGAGTATTTCACCAATTAAAAATTTAAGTCTGACATGAAGTCTGCAACGCCGCAAACTGAGATACGTGGTCACCGTCTATATCTCGTAGGAATAGATTCTGTAGACTCATACGCAGAGGCTGTCGTCCTTTTTTCTTCGCTAAAAAGGCAACATCTGGCAAGATTCAATCGATGTGATTCTGCCTTGCTAAGGAAGAATGCCGTATGAACATTCGAGAGTTGCCAAATTTGAATATGTTTGAATATTTTTTCTTGATATTTTCAGAAGTTTTAGATCAAATTACAAATAAAAGTATTTGAGAAATTGGTAAACAAATATTCGCCATTTTCTCCGAAAATTAGTGATTTGCCAGAGGAAATTTGGCAACGCCTGTAGGCTCATACGCCGTTTTTCATTAGCACACGGCAGGATTGAGTGCCCACCAGTTCGACCACGCCAAGAACTCGGGACAAAAGTTACCACTGTACAAATATTCGCCAATTTCTCCGAAAATTAGTGATTTGCCAGAGGAAATTTGGCAACGCCTGGATGCTCATACGCCGTTTTTCCCTAGCACGGCAGGATAGATTGCCCACCAGTTCGACCACGCCAAGAACTCGGGACAAGAGTTACCATTGTACTTTCGCATCCATCGAAAAAATTCGAAAATGTTGATGTAGCGGCAACTGTGTGTTTTTTGCATCGGATGCATCCTTCGATCTTTCGGGGTCACAGCGGGGGGGGGGGGCGCTCTTAAAGTTGGCTGATAAGAATTCCGGAGCACAGCCTGCTTGTTTCGGATATTCTATTCACGGGATTATTCAAGTGGTGACGTCATCATCGCTTCCCTGCGCCGAGCACCGGGGACCTTCCCCGACGAGAAGCGCGCCCGAATCTGAACCTTTTATCAAGACGTAAACCGGGAATATTTATGCAAACAGCCCGCGGCAATAGTTGCACATTTTCGCCAGAAACCTCCGAGTTCAAGTCGTTTTTGACCCAGAAAAGTGTACTATCCGTAATTTTTTCTTGCTGGTTTACTGGCTCATGTTTCGTGAGGAACAGTCATCCTCAGTATACCGGCATCTATAGTCATCTACACTGGAAAAAAAACCATTGGATCTAGAGTCCAGACTCTTAAAAACATCGACAAGAAAAAATACTCTTGGTTCAATCAGATTTAAGCTTAAATCAAGAACCCAGCCTCTTAATTTGAGCGGATTTCCTTTTTATTCAAGCTTAAATCTGATTGAATCAAGAGTACTTTTTCTTGTCAATGTTTTCAAGAGTCTGGACTCTAGATCCAATGTGTTTTTTTTCCATTGTATGTTTAGATTTTTATTTATGTTCTCAGACACTGGGGGTAGGTACATTCAGGCCCTCGGTCAAAGGTTCTAGGTATATGTTTCTGGAATGGTAGTAGTTGATGCCCTGTACCAATTTGACTACATTTTGAAATAAAGGGAGTATCATTTCTGACTCATTTTAGAAACCGCTAATAAGCCATTAATTTTCATGCGCAGAGCGGCGCTTTTATGGATACGTCAGAAATATTAGTTTTTCGACGGAATTTTAGTCCAAGTATTTGATACACACAACAAATTGGGCAAAATTTACCAAGTTTTGCCGCACTGAATCACACGTTGTCTTATTCCTTCTCATTATCAAGGTTTCCATAAGAAAATCAAGCAACATTCTGCTTCAAAATTTGTTGAGAATATTATTTTCTCTCTGGAAGAATCCGCGGGTAGTTTCAAGGCGTTATATTTCATAGCTATCTGTGAAAGAAAAATGGATAATGAGAAGAATTGAGAAAATGTGAAGTACAGTCAGGCTGAATCTGATCAATTCGCCCAAAAAGAGCAGTTCATAAAATAAGTAACCCTTAAAATTGGACCTTTTGAACTCGCACTCATTATTGCGTCACACAATTCAACCTTGAACGCTCTTTTGGGACGCACCCGAAACGCAGGCTTAGACTCCCCCTCCTCCTAAAGCTTTACGTACTTTATAAAAACCTCATTCGTCGGTGCACAACACGAAAGTAGTTGGCGTACAACATAGATTCAGTCAGTCACCAATTGCGGAAGCTTGCTCCAGACTAGCGACCTTTGTTTGTCATCGAAAAGCTCCATCTATATTGTGAGATTTTAGGTAGCTTCTGTCTTTTTGAGGGATATATAGTTGATGCTATAATTGGAGTTTGAAGAGTTGGGCCGAATTTGATTCTAGAACGTCACCATTGAGCGCGGACTGAGCGGCAAAATGTCGCGACTCTTCCTGGATACGCTAAAGAAGTTTTCCCAAAGTTTTCATGCAGACACACTTATTTTGGATAATGTTCAATGAGAATAATTGCATTACGCAGAGAAGGTGTATTTGCAGGAGAGTTAAAACGTTAACTAGTTTTGCATTAAATGAAGTCGTGTGTACCTTCCAGCAGTAACTGCGTTTCAACTTCTACATTTGTACTTCAACTCTACGTGCGTCCTCATCTAACATATTTTCAGTCCTAAACTATACTTTCATGGTTTTTCAATGTATAAATGGACTTCTTTTGTTTAAATGCTTGCAAATAATGGAATCAGACATGAGATGTAAAATTTTTACTAATTTAGATATGAGCTGGTTTGACTGGAATTAGCCCACTACATGAGGCATTGCCTTAATTTCTGTGCCATTTTATTTTTTTCAACAGAACCGAAGCATTACTAAATTTTGAAATTCTGTGGGTAGTAGGTGGCACACCTACTACCGTAGACGACGATATATTCCATAAATTATCAGATATTTTTCAAGTAAAATTTCACAATTGTAAAATTCAAGAAATTTTACC